TCTGATTGGGCAATTGCCCAAGGTAACTGGGCAAAAAATGTTCTTATTGGTAATCACGGACTACTTTACGAAGTGGGTAGAGGCTGAGCCTCTGGCCAAAATCCAATACGTGGATGTTAGGAACTTCATCTAGAAGAACATTATTACCAGATTCAAAATCCCAATAGTTCCCAGTTTGATAGCATGTTGATCAAGAAGTTCTGCACAAAGTATAAGATCAAAAACTATTACTCAACCCCTAGCTTCCCTCAGAACAACGACCAAGTTGAGGCCTTCAACAAAACCATCATGGATGGAATAAAGAAGAGGTTGGAAGCTGCCAAGGTCAAGTGGGTAGAGGAATTGCCTAATGTTTTATGGGCATATCGCACTACAACGAGAAAATCTACTAGCGAATCTCCTTTTGCCATGGCTTATGGCATAAAGGCCGTCATAGCTCTGGAAATCAGCATTCCAGGAATCAGAACTCAAGGAGTGAAAAATAGAATAAGCGAAACATTCCTTGCCTGAGATCTTGACTTAATTGAAGAAAAGAGAAAAATAGCAGCAATTTGGCTGGGGGCATACCAACAGAGCCTTGCAAGGGCACACAACAAGAAAGTGAATCCTAGAGAGTTCCAAATTGGAGACCTCGTCCTAATAAAGGTTGTTGGCAATAGAAAAGATCCCAAGGAGGGTAAGTTTGGCACAAATTGGAAAGGACCATACAAAATCATCTTGGTTGCCGACAACGTCACTTATCGATTAGAAGATAATGATAGCAAGGAACTGCCAAGACCATGGACTTACAAGCAATTTAAAATTCTTTTACCATTAAGTTTTCAAGTTTTATGTAATCCAAATGATTTAGCCAAAGCATTAATAAAATACTAGTATGAATTTTGTTCTTTACAAAATGTTGTTAAAATTTATAACTGTTAGATAAGACTGAAAAGTCTTAAGCCGATGTTCCCAAGGTGCACAAGATGATTAACTTAGATTTGCAATGATAAACTAAGTTAAAGAGATGCTTCAATGAGAAACAAGATGAAACCAACCACGATCTAGCTAGTTTGTACAAAAATCCGAGGTAAGTCAGTACTCTCGATGCACTAAGGTTAAGCCTTAAGTGTTTTGTTTAGACGAGCTAAACCCGATGACCTCGGTCATGGATAAAAAAAAATTCAAACTTAAGCAAGATTTAAACAATGCATCCTTAATGCAAACCTAAGTGATACTTAGATTCGCATTAGGGGGCAAAGTGCATAAATAAGTTAAGTATGACACTTGTAAAAAAAAAAAATCGAAGAATTTTGCAAGTTGAAGTTAGCCGAGATGAATTACTGTAAGTTGAAGTTATCCGAGATCTTTGATCCGAGATGATTGATAGTAGTCCGATATATTAAAGTTGAGAAGATGCCATACGTAGAAGGATTCATACAAGGTGTATAAAAGCAACAACAAACAAGCATTTAGCATTCACAACACTTAGTGGAAAAACAAGATAAACTTGCATTCAAAAAGAAGCTTTTTCTGTTACATCAAAGGAGGCACTTCGGCCTTACAGGAAAAGAAAAAGAACAAATTAAAAGAAAAAAAAAATCCTAACTGCTAGGCTCTAGAACATCGTCGTCGACTTGCTCCGCCACCTTCCCAACCTCAGCCGCAATCTCTTTATCGATTTCCTTCAGAGTCTCATCAAGACTCTTCTCAACAGCAGTGACCTCGGCGTTTTGGGGGGAAATGCCTTTGGAAACCTCATCCCCATCGTCCTTAGTCAGGTCCAAGACCTGATCATTCAAAGTTGGGAACTTGGCCCTAGCAACACTAGTGGTAGCGTTGACAGCAACCTCTTCTTCTTGTTATTTTTCCTCCTCCTCCTCTGATTGGACTGGAAATAGAGGGAAGGGCACATCCAGCTTGACAATGTCACACAGAGGGGAGTCCTCAAGAACATCCAACTTCTTCAACGCAGCAACCCAACTGAGGTAGTAACCCTTGTTGCAAGCTAGGTTGACTTGTTTCTTATACTGGTCCCAGACGTCGGCCTGCCCCTCTATGTAAGCCTTCTCATCAGCCTCTGTGATCTCGGCCTCCTTTGTCTCCAAGGCCTTCTTCCAGCCAATTTCGGCCTCGGCAGCTCTGTCTTCGATGACCTTGGTAGCCATCCTAGCGGCTTTGGCAACTACTTTAGCCCTATTTTCAATTGCCTTAGTTGCACTGGCCGCATCCATCAGGTTCTTGATTTTGGCCTTAGCCTTGTTGAGTTGGGAGAGGAAGCCTGCAGCCTCCTTGGTCTTTTTGGTGAGGTCCTTCTTCACCAACTCGACTTTGACTGCATAGGAGTGCGTGTACTGGATGGCCTGCAACAAAGAAAAGTGAATTAGTAAAATTTCACTAAGTATAAAAAAGGCAAAAATTGAAAAGAGAATGAAGAACCTTACCAAGACAATATGCCTCATCATTAAGGCGAAATTCTCATTCTAATTGCAATCACTAATTTCACTCATATCGGTAAGCAATAGTAGGCCAGTGGTCAGCGTGGCCCTGACCTCAACATCCTTGATGGCGCTGTCGCCGACCCTCAATAGTCGGTCACCCACCATGATCTCAAGAAGCCAGGCGTCCTCGAGCGAGGCATCCCTTTCTTCACTAGTGCCAATGGACCTCAACCTCTTTGCGGGAAGGGCCTTGGTGGAGTCATCCATGGCTAGCCTCTTCTCGGCCTCGGCCAATTTGGAAATTGGCACTGAATCCTTTGTGTCCCTTTCTTCGTCAGAAGGAACAACAATGACCTTGGCCTTGGCCTTAGCCTTCTTCGCCCTCTTGGGCTTTTGGATGGATTGAGAGGAATAGGTGGACAGCATAATTACAACATTTGGCAGCTCAGCGAGCAAGTCTTCAACCACTATTGGCTTGTGACCCATCTTGGTAGAGGTAGCGACAACGCTAACTCCGCTACCAAGTCTGAAAGTAAAGAGTGCAAAAGGAGAGTTGGCAGGATCATACGCTAGAGTGTTAACATCTCGGCGCTTTTTACTGCATGTTCTCCTAGCCAGTGTGTTAAGAGGACAGCAACAAAGCTAGTGTTAGGCTAGGGGAATGTGTTGTGGAGCTGATGTTGGTGGCTGGTCAACTGGATCAAAGGTGGAAACTTGGTCTATGCAGAAGGAAGATGCAACAAGTGGAGTTATTAAAGGCAGTGGGGTTCTGCTCCTGACAGGGATGTCGGACAGAGGGGATTGGTACGTTGGGACATAGTTCAGAAGGACGGGAGCCTTGTAGTCCTGGACAGACAAGTCCAGAAGCTATTTCAGGTCGGGGCTCTGGACGTACGACTTTCGAAATAATTTGCTCAACTGAGGAAGCACTGCAAAACAAAGTAAAAGGAGAAAAACATCAGAAAATGATTAAGTATGCAATGCAATGTTAAAAATGTATGCTTTGGGATGATTGAGTTCTTACCCTCATCTTTTCTAAAATCTCCTCGGCGCAAGGAAAATAGGTGGAGATCATCATCTGGCACAAACTCCCAGCTGTCCGAGACAATGAGATAGTCTTCTCCAGCACCCTTGTTAGAGTCTGGAAGGTCGGCTGTAGGTGTTGATTAATATAAAAATAAGGCACTTCTGTGAGTCTAAGGTATACTTTTACTTGTGCACTGTTTATTTGAGTTGATATCTTGTGAGATAAATGATTGATTTGATCGTCAGAGTGTCCTTGAGTGGACGAGCTACTGTGGTATTTCTTACTCTCTTGCATAAAGGTGTTGGCTTAATCTGTTATGTCTCATGCTCTCCAGCTAAGTTCTCTGTTTGGTTATCTATACTATTATTAAAAGCCAACAGGAACTTTGGTGTCCTGAAGCCTCTCTTAGAAATTTTTTTCCATTTTTCCCAAAATGGCCATAACTTCTTAAATAATTATATTATTTTTACACTAATATCAATATATAGTTAAGGGTAACCTGATAAATTCAAACCAACCAATTCCACTTCCCATGTTTCCAAACTGCACAGCAGTTCTAAATCAGTTCAACATCTTCGAATTCTGTTTTGAACGATTGAAACCTCGGGAGAGAGAGAGAGATCAGATCTGGTGAAGGAGAGATTGGTAGCAATTGTGCACCAATAAAAACCTAATCGTACTTGAAGAGATACGAAGAGGTTCAATCTCCTCAAATTCAACACCATCCAAAGACAATTCTTCAAGAACAGGGCATCCATCAACAACCCTCTCGAACGATTCTCCATCGACAAATCCAACATAATCCAAATAAAGGCGCTTAAGTTTCGGCCAAAAAAACCGAATCCGGAACATTCAAACCATAGTGCTGGCTCAACAACAAATCCACAAGCGTTGTGGAGTCAAAAAGACCAGGAATTGACACATTAGTGCTCTTCACATTGAAGAACAACGAAAGCCAAGCAATAGATACCCATTCATCAATGTTTGAATAGCCATAGTCGTGATGACACTGGAGATGGAGTTTGTGAATAGTTGGGACGTCCATGAGAGTGACTGTGAACAAATGGTTCATGAAATTGATGAAATTGGAATTGGTGGTGTTGTTGTGGGGATTCAAGAGCAGAGAATCGTCGATGTCGATGGTGGGATTGGGGATTGAAGCAAAGAGGTTGTTCCATTTGGTGGATAAGATGGTTGTGCCGGCGGCGAATTTGGTGGGGAGTTTGGAGAGGATGTGACAGAGAATCGATTCTGGCAAATTGCTGATTCTATCTGCGCCATTGTTATCGACATTGGCTAGGGTTTCATGGCGAGTTGGTGATGGAGGGTTGTGAAGGTGCTTATGGCGTTTTAGAGCTGTATCCATGGGAGGTTTTGTTTTGGCCCAGAAGTCGTGATGAGGTATAATTGTTTTGATGTTTATTCAATTTGATACAATACTACTGAACAATTTGATATCCTATTTAGGTTGCTTTGTAATGAAATGTAAAATAATTGTTAGTGATTACAAACAGTAAAAATAATTGTATAGATTTTTTATAAATATATTATCATTGTGAGTATATTTTTATTTTATTTTAGATAATGTAGAAGTATATGAGAATGTATGTATATATATCATATTAAATTCAGAAAAATAAAAAAATAAAAAATAAATAAAAATTATGCAATTGAATATATAAAAAAAAAAAAAAACAAATTGAATGAGGATGTATTAAAATTTTTATCAATTGAGTTTCCAAATGAGTTTGCACACGCATTGCGTGTGCTCGGTCGCTAGTATATATAAAGCTAAAAAAAATATTAAAAAATTGAAAATTTAAAAATTTATATAATCACTAAAAAAAATCTAAAAACACTTTCCCATATAATTAAAAATGTTATTTTCAAATCTACCAACATTTTTTAATCTCATAAAAACATTAAAAAAAATAAAAAAATATTAAAAAAATAGTTAATACTTTAGTTGGCATAGCTTGCAAGCCATGTTTGTTTGGGCGGACTGGATTAGGTCGGATTAATATTCTCATGACTAATAGTCCTAAAATTACGAATTCATTTGGATTGTGTATCATATCCTATGTTTGGATTGCGTTAGGATTATAAGGAGGGATTAACAAAATATTATCTGATCCAATGTTTGTTTAAGGGGATTGGAATGGATAGGACATGACAGGACATGAGACAATCAATATATTGATGATAATACCTCTATTATAGTCATTTGATAAGTTAGTCTAGACTTTGACTTAGTCCCCCAATTTATATCCTACCCCCTATGTGAAATTGGATAGTCTATTATATTTGGAATATCATATCCGGATGGATTGTTAGTCCGTATTTTAATTTTTCAACCAAACATCAGATTAATTATTTTATTGAACTACTAGTCCAATTTTAAGTACATGTCCGTCCAAACAAACATGGCCTAAATGTATGACCTCTACGAGTTGGCCTGGTGTTCATGGTCTCTCAAGTTTGGATCATACTCTTTCTAAAGTTTCAAATTTAAAATTTTCTAAGTATAAACAATTTCTTGAGGCGTCTATATCGAATTAGTCGGTCCAAAAATCAGATACTAAATTATAATACTCCCTATGTTTCAAAATAATAGTTCCTTTTGGGGAATTCAATATTTTTTTGTAATATAATTATTGCACTTTACAAAAATTAATTTTTCAAAATTATCCTTTGATAGTACATTTTGTTGGAGAATATCAATGGTCATAATTGTACTTTTTGTGTTATTAATGAATTTAAAAGAAATGAAAAATAAGAAATTAAATAATATTTTAGTTCTTGATTTTTAAAAAAAGGGACTAATATTTTAGAACAATGAAAAATGAAATAAAGGACTAATATTTTGGGACGGAGGAAGCAATAAAAAAATGCTCTAACTGTACAATTAAAAAAAATTAAAAAACATATCCTTAAATTAGGAGATCATAGTAGTTTATGAATTTTCCCTTTACTTCATACATAATCTTGCAAATTTTTTGTAACTTGCATGCAAATCTAATTTAATATGGTTTCGTTTGGGAAGAAGGGAATTGGGTTAGATTTGGGGCTATTTTAGTTTCAAAAAGACAAAATAGGCTTTTAAGCCTAATAAGACAAAATATCACATCCAAACCCATAATCATTACATTCTCTCTCTCACAAAAAGTTAAAAAAAACCAAAAAAAATACTTTCCAAAAGAGACTTTTTAACTCTAAATTAAAATAGTCAAAAAGTCAACTCACTTTCCAAACAAATCCTATATAACATTAAAAGGTAATATTTACTTGAAATCTTTATCTCGCTTATGTGACTTAAAATAACTAAAATGTTACGTTTAATTTTTCACAAACTAAACTATAAAAAAGTACGTTCTTTGTTTTATTTCACTTTTTTTTTTTTTATTTATATACTTCAATGTTGCTTTTTATTTATTTTTTATTTATCTATTTATATAAATTGTTTAAAAAGTCTCTTGAGACTTTTCAAATATAATTATTTTGGAAGCAGCGACAGGCGTATAAATTGTACAAAAGTGGGGCTAAAGCAAAAGTATTTAGATTCTAGAAGAATTAAAGTAAGATTATATAGATTTTAAAAATTAAAATATGTATGTTATAAATATTCAAAATTACATGAAAGTAATGAGAATTTTCAAAAGTTTAGGATTACTAAAATTCTAATTTATTTTATAATAACTAAAAATTGCATAAAAATAATGAAAAAAAAATTCAAAATATTGGGTAACAAAAGTTGAAGTATTTAGATTTTAGAGAGATTAAAGTAAAATTAATTATCAAATTTCGAAGGAGCCAAAATGCAAAATTCTTTTTATAAATATTAAAAATTACTAATAAAAATATTAATTCTTTCAAAAAGTTTAAGGGAGCGTGGCCGCTAACAACTATCCCGTGTGTCACGCACTATTACTTTTGGAAAAGTTTTTTGTTAAAAATAGTTATTTTAATATGATGACTAAGTTATTACAGACAAACATCACTTTTAAAGAGTCCATATTAATACTTATATATATATATATTATTCCAACCCCCCCCCCCCCCCCTCTCTTTCCTTTAAAAATGCATGGATTAGTATTGATTTTTTTTTTTAGTTGATAGTTAAAACTTTACATTTCCTAATTAATATAAAATTATATATTTTGAAAAACACATAATTATTTAAACTATACACAAAATATTGTTGCATGGTAGTAAGTATTACTCATCCGGAGTTTCCAAACTAATTGCATGCAAATTATAAATATATAAAACTTCACTTTCTTTTTGTTGAAATTTTTTATTTTTTGAACTATATACAATAATTAAGTTTTGAAGATCCAGGCATTTACATTATTATTTTTTTCCCCATTTTGCCTGTAATGTCTAACTCCACAAAGCAGACGAATTTAGTGTCATACAAGAATGGCATCTAAGCCTGTGTTACATGGACTCGGCACTTTGGGACGAAGTACCCGTGTCGACACGACACGACACGGGTGCGGGTGTGAGATCTGTGTCGGATTCTCGTGTTCTCTCTCGGACACGACTCTTTACAGACAGCAAAAGAAATGAAAGAGGGAGAGAAAGAGAGAACATGGTTGCCTGTTGAAACGGTGAAGACATCGGCCGCTGCTTCAACATGCTCGATCTCCATCTCCTGCTCTGTCTTCTCCCTCGTCTCTCGATCTCCTTCTCTGTGTTCTCTCTCGTCTCTTGATCTGTCGATCTCTCTTCCTCTCCTCTCGTTTGTCAATCTCGATCTCCCTCTACTCTCTCTCTCTCAGTCGCCAACTTCTTTCTTCTGCTCTGTTCTCTCGATCTCCCTCTATTAGTACATAATATTAGTAGTCTATTAGTATATAATATTAGTAGATAATATAAATCGCATAATATAATATAATATATAATATTATTATTTTTTTTATTCAAATATAATATTATTCATATTATATAATATTATTCATCCATTATTCATATTACATTTATATTAACATATAGTATAAATTACATTAATATAATAATATATAATATTATTCATCCAAAAAAATTATATAATATAATAAATCATAAATAATATAATTTTTATGTCCAAAAAAAAATCTTATTTTATCATATATAATATAATTTATTTTATATCTAAAATAATTTTTATTTGTTATTTATATAATCTAACTCGTTTTCATATAATAAATATATATTTTTTAAAAAAAACTATTTAACGTATTTCCGTACCCGTATCCAAATTTGGATACATATCCACGTATCCTTAATTTTTAATTTTAAGGTGTCCGACCCTTAGATACGCACCTGCACTCGATATCCGTATCCGAGTCCATGTAACATAGATCTAAGCTGATAAACAAGGGTTTGGGCCCGGTTTAACATAATCTGATTTGATCGTATCATTCTAAATGTGCATCATTTTATTTTTCATGATACTTAACATCACTTTAAATGTTAATCTAAATTTGATTGTCTAAATCGATAATGAGCAATCTCAATGCGAATCTCGTTTATATGGATATCCAATTCATAAAGGTTCTCCTTTGATTTAATGAATAGATTGGAGATAATTGTTTAACATTTTTTTTAATTTAAATTAACAAAAAAATAATTAAACATTAGAAATTCTCTAACAAAGTTAATAAAACCGAATTTCAAACAAATTAACCATCTAATATTAGAATCATGAGACTTGATAAAAAATAAAGAGGGCTATTATTAGCACTCCATAAATTATTTTGAACTCCCCATTTCTTTGGACCCCTATTTATAAACTGTAAAACTTATAAAATTTCTTTTTCTGCCCCCAAATAATACCAAAATTATCCTTATAAAAGCATTTCACCCATCTAAATTTACACCCCCACACCCCCACACCCCCCCTCCCCTACACACCAAAAAGCCTCTCTCCCAAAACCCTAACAAAACCTATGACGGTGGAACCTCCCAAAACAAGTAGAAAAAAATTTCTGATGATTACGAAGTTTTTTCTTTGCTTCATTACGAGGTTTGTCAATCTGTTTGAATTTTTTTTTTCTTTTTCTATTATCTCTTTTCACACACACAACACAATCCACTTTCATGCTTCTCTGGTTGGTTTTCTGTGATTCATCCATGGCCTCATTGTACTTCTATGGTCTCTGTGTGAGCGAAACTGGGCAGGATTTCACCCCCAGGTTGACCACCCAGGGGTAGTCTGACCTCCTTTGTTTGCCTACTTCTACTGCTATTTTGGTTATCTGTTCCCAAATAAATAAGAAATGTTCGGTTACTTGTTCCTAAACAAATAAACAATGTTCGGACCTTTGTTCCTGAATTTCGATCATATTTTCGAGAGTTAAGTCTCAAAAAAAATGACAAACAATT